TAGGAACAAAGCAGCAGACAGAAATTACACTTAGTGCACTTAACTAAGACACGTACATGCTATAGAGGGATATGCTTTGTTCATATTCCATGAGTGAGGATTACAACTACTTTAATTCAAAAAGTAAAAATTTGCTATGTTATAGAGAACTTTTAGCAATGTTAATTGTCCATAAGTAGTATCATGAATATACCTTTTATGCGGAATTCCTTCTGAAAAATAGCAGTGTATTTCCTAAAATGTGAGTGTGCCTAGCCACCACTAGCCTACAGCATCATAGCTCTATAGCTGCAGTATGAGATCTAAGGCACTACTGCCTCTGTTTGCTAGTCTTGTGAGATTTGGTGATATCACTACTGTGCTGTCCACTGTTCTTGCTGGAGGTTTTGCCAAAAGAAATCAAAGTCCTGCCTCCACCATGATATGTACCTATACACAGAGACAAAGTATGTATGGTGGATCAGTAGGGCAGGGAGACCACAGGCAATACTAGGTTCAAGCCTAATCTGTAGGAAACTGTCACATGATAGCAATGACATTGTCCATGTGACCATATCAAGTCAGTGATGTAACCATGCAGCTGATTGGTTCGGCAACCTGCTATCATGTGACAGCTTCCTGCGGGTTCATCGTGAACCTTAGCTCATCATTATTGTTGACTAGTCATTTGCCCTCTGCCTGTCCTTTCTTTTGGCACAGTTTTCAGAGTTAAGTTCCTTGGTATGATACATGACCAATAAAAAACAGGGCGATTGTATATAATTACCCAAATACAACACAGATGGAATGCTGCTTTTTCTGTTGGAATAAAGAACCCATGTATCACAATTTAACAGAACTTGCCAATGAGTCTACAAGCGTATGGGCGCTTTCATTTAACATAACTTACAAGTGTGTCCCTGGTACATTTCTAAAATTATCCTTCAGTAGGTTTTCTGTTGTTTAAAATGAAAAAAATATATATGAAAAATTTTTCTGCGTACTAGAGGAATCCAAAAATATTATAACTAAGTGACGCAAATTATTATAGCAACCTATGTCTTGTTTAATTTTTTTTTTGGACTAGTTATAATACATTGTGGGAAACTGTAGACTTCACATTTTGTCACCTAGAAAATTATATGTATACAGTTGGTATTAGGCATAATTAGCCTACATGGCCTCTTGGCAGCCTACATGACCTCTCTTTCAACCATAAACTGTTAAGTAGCTAAGCCCATAATAAAACATTGTAGTTGAATATGATTATGGGTACCATAATCCTAATAAAGTAGAGTTCATTTCAGATACAAATGTTAAAGGAAACTTGGAACTGTAATAGACATCTAGATTGGGGGATAGTCTGGCATAGAAACAAGGAAGGCCTGGGGCCAGGCTCCCAGCTCATAGACTTAGGAAGTAATGAAATATTGGATTTCCCAACCTTTGCAAATGGATCATCCAATCTAATGTTTAGCTCTGCATCTACACTCACCAGTCACTTTATTAGGTACACCTTGCTAGTGCCAAGAAAATATCCCCCACAGCATTACACCACCAGCCTGAACCATTGATACAAGGCAGGATGGATTCATGCTTTCATGTTGTTTATGCCAAATTCTGACTGACCCTACCATCTGAATGTTGCAGCAACCAGTCTGCCCATTCTAGTCTAACCTCTGACATCAACAAGGAATTTTTGCCAACACAACTGTCGCCCACTGGATATTTTCTCTTTTTCGGACCATTCTCTGTAAACCCTAGAGATATTTGTGTGTGAAAATCCCAGTAGATCAGCAGTTTTTTTAATTACTCAGACCAGCCTGTCTGGCACCAACAACCATGCCACATTCAAAATCACGTAAATCCCCTTTCTTCCACATTCTGATGCTTGGTTTGAACTTCAGCAAGTTGTCTTCACCACGTCTAGATGCCTAAATGCACTGAGTTGCTGCCATGTGATTGGCTTATTAGCAATTTGTGTTACCAAGGAATTGAACAGGTGTTCCTAATAAAGTGGCTGGTGAGTGTATGTCAAAAGACTTAATCACTGAACATGGAACTAAGACTGCTCCAATGACCATAAATATGGAATAAATATTATGAATTCACTAGCATGATTGCAATTACACCCTTTTAACTTATTAAGCAGGTGTTCTTATAATGTCCTACAAGAACACAATCATTTCCCCTCAAGGCTTTCTAATCACTATGAAGGTTGTATTGTATTAATTAATAGGACACCCCAGAATTAAAAATCTTTTTTTTTTTAATCTTTTGAAAAATTTTTGAAAATCTCCCCCTGGATTACTTCAATAAATAATTCCACTGGATGCTTAACAAAAAAAAAAGTGTTATATTTTTAAATATTTTTGTTAGGGGTAGCTAGCTTAGTAGTTCTTGAAGCTGAAATCGGGTTTTGTCTTTAGTCTTGCACAGTTGTACAATGTTAAGGGCTAGGAAATTGTGAACCTTTGCACCTTTGTTTACTGGCAGTGCGCTCAAGATGCAGTCTAGGAAGGGCCTGGTCTTCACCACAGCTGCTGATGGTGGCAATGGATTTGCTGCAGGGATCTCCCGGTAGTGGTCCCCAGTCACAAAAATGCATGCTACAGCTGACTGGTGAAGATGACTTTAGTAGCGGTGCTTACTACAGTGTTTTTCAGCCTTCAGGGGGATTCCACAGGTTTGGCACATACATGCTTGGTCCAACCTGGTGACAGATCTGCTTTGCAGCTGATTTGTGGCATACAGGCTCCTTTCTAAAACTTAAATTACTTACTCTGATTCACTGCACACTATGAGCTACTCACAAATACATTAGAAGATGCAGTAGGTCAGATAGAGGCCCCCTCATTAGTTGGCTAGTGGATGTCTTGCATTGTCTAGCCCTTTCCTCCCCAGCTTTACTGTCTCTTGGTTGCCTCTTTTGTTCATTAGATTTCAGTTCTTTTTTTCAAGGAGACTCAACATCACATGTGGGCATTACACAGGGTGGTCTACATGAAAATTCAGGCTACCTAGGAATGCCCACTCCCACTGACATCCACCCATCAGGACATTTTGATATTTGGACAACTCCCCTCAAGAGTCACCCATCTGCGTGCATCAGGGGTGAGTACTCTTGAGAAGACTCAGGCATGGTGCTGTGATGATCCACTAACTTGAAGGATGCCAAATGATGCAGAGGGCAAGGAGGGGTTTTTAGATTTTTGTTAGCTAACGGTCATACATTTTCAACACAGTGGCTTAGTGGTTAGCACTTCTGCACTGATGGCTTAATGGTTAGAATTAGAGTCCTTGGTTCTCCTTGTGCTTGCATGGGTATGCTCTGGTTGACTTCTACAGTCCAAACACATGCTGGTAGATCAATTGGCTTCATTCTAAATTGACCATACTATGCATGCTTGTATATGTAAGCATGTGAGAAAGGCTACTTGAAGGCGCTGTGTAAAATGTCAGCACTATATAAATTCTTATATTAAATAAATATATGTTGTTTTGCATGACCTATAAATACTTTGCTTTTCGTTCAGTCTTGTTCAGTTTTTGTACACACCACCGCAGTGAACATAATAATTATTGTGTTGCCTAACAGAAAACAAGTTAAGCTACCCTGGTGCTGATTCATTGAATTCTTTCACAAAAATCAAATAAAATGTAGGTCACCTTACAACTGCAAATTGCCTTTCTATAAACTAAAAGAAGACATTTTTTCAAAAATGAATTAACCAACCAGACTGTTAGTTTCATGTGTCCACCAGTGACCTTCTGTCTAAGCATTCACATATGCATGAACATTATTGTCTCGGATTCCAGGATACTGTTAACCCACAGTTTGAATTTCAGCCATTCACGGTCTGCATTTCAGCCATCTACGGTCTACATTTTGTCTGCTCACTTTTTGGGTGGAAAAGTGCAAATCATGCCCACTTTACAGGTCAGTCCCAGCTAGACCCTGCCTTTAAATATGTGGTGACCACCCATCATGCCCACTTTAATGGTTGCTCCCATGCAGACGAAGCCTCTAAATATGTGGCAGCTACCCAGTTGCAACCAAGATCCCTGCAAATGAAAGTCTTTTTGAGTTACTGTGCTTGTGGATTAGCTCAAATAAGGTTAATGCTGTGATCCCCGGACATTTGGAAGTCCTTGCACAGGTGTAACCTAGGGGATGCATTTTGTCTACTTCTGCCTCATATTAGGCAACTTTTGAAAAAGCAAAAAAAATCATAATTTAATCCAAACTGCTGAAACTTACACTGTAAGCTTTGACAATTTCTGAAAGTGTCAAGCACTGATTCCAAAACCTTCACACCTGCATGCTCCTACTGGCCTATAATGAATTATGGCCTTACTTCTCAATGGGAACATGTGGGTGGTGTGAGCCACAATTTGATGACAAGCACATGCTGATAAATGCCAGTTACACCAACCCAGAATCTTTGGTACCCAGGCTACAGAATAATACTTCTAAGGCCTGGTTCACACCTGTGCATTTTTAGTACTTTTAGCAATTTGCTGAACACACTACAGTCCATTTAACATGGTTTCCTATGGGACACGTTCACAACTATGCGTTTTTAGCTGATGCATTTTTGGTAAGGGTCAGAGATTTTTTATCCAGCAGCAGGTTGAAACACGCATAGGTGTGAAACAGGCCTAAGGGTATGTGCTATATTATGCCCAAATTGTATTGTTGGAGCCTGTCATTGTCACTTGAGTACTGACAAGTTTGCCTTAATGTGATGGGTGGCCTCATTGGCTAAAACTTCAGGTCCCTCTGTTCTTTTAAATGTGCATTTTTTATTGAAGGTAGCCTCTACTCATGCATTTTTTATCATAGAATTAGTTTGAATTGCCCAGGTTAGCTTTTCCATTTGTGCTTTACTGATCAATTTTAGTTTAGTTTGTCTAATTCAGGAATACAGCATACACTATATTGCCAAAAGTATTGGGACACCCCTCCAAATCATTGGATTTAGGTGCTCCAATCACTTCCATGGCCACAGTTGTATAAAATCAAGCACCTAGGCATGTAGACTGCTTCTACAAACATTTGTGAAAGAATGGGTTGCTCTCAGGAGCTCAGGGAATTCAAGGGTGGTACCATGATAGGTTTGCCACCTGTGCAATAAGTCAATACATGAAATTTCCTTGCTACTAAATATTCCACGGTCAACTGTTAATTGTACTATAACAAAGTGGAAGCAACTGGGAACAACAGCAACTCAGCCAAGAAGTGGTAGACCATGAAAAATAACAGAGCAGGCTCAGGGCATGCTGAAGCGCACAGTGCGCAGAAGTCGCCAACTGTCTGCAGAGTCAATAGCTAAAACCTCTAAAATTCATGTGGCCTTCAGATTAGCACAACAACAGTGCACAGAGAGCTTCATGGAATGGGTTTCTATGGGCAAGCAACTGCATCCAAGCCTTACATCACCAAGTGCAATGCAAAGCGTTGGATGCTTTACACCACTGGGCAGTGGAGACGTGTTCTCTGGAGTGACAAATCATGCTCATTTGTCTGGCAATGGATGTGTCTGGGCTTGGCGGTTTACAGGAGAACGGTACTTGCCTGACTGCATTGTGCCAAGTGTAAAGTTTGCTGGAGGGGGGATTATGGTGTGGGGTGGTTTTTCAGGGGTTGGGCTTGGCCCCTTAGCTCCAGTGAAGGGAACTCTTAAGGCATCAGCAAACCAAGACATTTTGGACTATTTCATGCTCCCAACTTTGTGGAAACTGTTTGAGGATGGCCCCTTCCTGTTCCAACATGACTGTACACTAGTGGACAAAGCAAGGCCCATAAATACATGGATGAGTGAATTTGGGGTGGAGGAAATTGACTGACCTGCACAGAGTCCTGACATCAACCCAATAGAACAACTTTGGGATGAATTAGAGCGGAGACTGCAAGTCAGGCCTTCTCCTCTGACATCAGTGTCTGACCTCACAAATGCGCTTCTGGAAGAATGGTCAAACATTCCCATAGACACATTACTAAACATTGTGGACAGCCTTCCCAGAAGAGTTGAAGCTGGTATAGCTGCAAAGGGTGGGCCAACTCAATATTGAACCCTACGGACTAAGACTGACATGCCATTAAAGTTCATATGTGTGTAAAGGCAGGCGTCCCAATACTATTGGCAATATAGTGTATATGCAATACAAGCATGTGGTACATTCTCTTATATACTTACTTGTGAGCAGCCACAGCAGTGATAGCAGCTTGAGAGGCCGTGTGTGAGAGGTCTGTGTACTGTTTTTCTCTCCACACAACAAAGGATGAAATCAGAGGGGATGTTTAAAGCGGATGCCACTGCAGCCTGCCAGAAGAACGCAGCAATGTAAGACATGCAGCACCTTACTTATTGTGGTAGTATAGCATATACAGATGTAAATTGTAGAGGCTTATGATTTATTCTTGGTGTATACAGTAAAAAAAAAAACAACCTTTCCAAATGGGAATCACAAACTTATGCATACATAAAGTAAGTTTTTCAAGAAAGAAATATGGAGCTACCATTGAAACCTCTTGTTCTGCAAAAGCTAGTTGCATGGCAGCAATCCTGATCCTAAAGCTTCAATATTTCAAGTCACAAACTCAGAACAATTATACAGATAGGGACTTATGACTTCCCCATGACTTTTTTACTCAGGACATCAGTCATAGCAGCCCTCATATTTCTCTTAAGAATGGTTTATTTTAACTTTAGGGGGTGACCAAATTCAAGTTACAGGTGGACTACATAAACAATAGATTTATGCCTTCTTAGAAGAAGAACACTATAACCATTACATCTAACTGTACAGAATATATATAGTTTACATGTTTTAGAGTAGAAAATAGGGTGAACCTGTGAAACACCCAACTACTTAAAGAAGAAACTATTTTCTACAAATTCTCCTGTTATGACTGGATGAATAAGTCAACATACGCTGACATCACTAAAGTGAAATTGGGTTCAGGATCACATTAAGGACAGTGCTTCACACTTATATAACAGATCCAAAGGGTTTAAATGTAATGCATTAATAAAGAGGTCTTTAGTGTTCTATTCCTCATGACCCAAATGAGAGATTGCCATTGTTCCTGGATCCCAACATACTGACTGTTTAGGAAATTATTAATAAGTTGGCCATTTTCTGCTGTCACAGACTGAATTTTGATTAGTGTGGCTATCCATGTTTTACAAAAGTCAATCATTTGATCGAATTCTTTTGAACGAACAAGCTGACAAACCTTGTTTGTGTGGATGGAAGAATCTGTGCCCTCTGGCCCAGTTTTAACCTCTTTGAACAAATGAAGACAAACAGTCACCTAGCACAAGTGTGGCTCCCAGCAGAACCTAAACATTTTGAACACAGGGACCCCACAAAATTGATAATGGGTTCCCAGATAAAACCTTCTTTCAACAGGCTGCACACCTAAGCACACAAGAAGATTAGAGAACAGGGCACTGTACCTGTATTGACGCTGGATCCTGGGTTGATATGAACACCTCTATTTCATTTTCTTCTAGTCTAGGTATGACCCGTACTGTCTGAGATTGCAGAAGATTATTCTGTCCTTCTATATAGTCCTCACCTGTTCTTTGAAAAGTAAAAACAAAGGCAGCACTCCAGACATGTATTCTTCTCTTACCATGCAACATTAAGGCTTATTATGTGCTTCTATGGGCTAGAATAAATATTAGGCACCCCCAAAGTAGAAGAGAATATAACAAATGAAGAGTCATGTCAAAGGAATGGATTCAGCACTGTCTCTCTTATCAAAATTTCCCACAATTGGGTACATGCAGTGCAAAGTGTTCCTAACACCTCCAATATTTACTTTAAAATTAGAAGAGCAGTACTTCCTTTTTGCACATTACATGGAGAGCATGTTATATATGGAGGGCACAGTGGGGTACATTACAAGGAAGGCACATTATATGGAGGGCACAGCTGGGCACATTACATGAAGGGTACAGTATATGGAGGGCCCAGCAGGGCACAATAATTGGAGGTCTCATTACAGGAGGGCACAGTAGGACATGTTACATGGAAGGCACATTATATGGAGGACATACCAGGGCACATTAGAGCAGGGTACAGCAGGGCACATTACATGGAGGGCACATTAAATGAGAGAGACAGCAGGGCATGTAGGGAACAGTAGGGCACATCACAGGAAGGGCATATTAAATAAAGGGAACATTACATGGGGGGCACATCAGGGCATATAACATGAAGGGAACATTACAGAGAGTCAACAGGGCACATTATATGAGAGGCATATTACAGGGGGTCAGCAGGGTACATTGCATAGGGGCACATTACATGGGGGCACATTACAGGTTGCCAGCAAGGTACATTACATTGGGGCACATTATATGGAGGTCATATTACAAGGTGTCAGCAGGGAACATTACATGGCTGGGCATATTACAATGTGTCATTGGGGCACATTATATGGGGGGGGGGCACATTACAGGGTGTCAGCAGAGCACATTACTTTGGGGGTACATTACATGCTGTCAGCGGGACACATTACATGGGGGTCATATGACAGGGTGCCAGGAGGGCACATTACATGAAGGTCACTTTACATGCAGGGCACATTACAGAGTGTCAGTGGAGCACGTTACATGGGGGGGGGGGCATATTACAGTAGCGACATAGTTTTCTGCACATGCAGAGCAGGGAAGCTGCTGTAAGTCCGCTTCTGGGGTGCTGATAACTGCCTGTCCTCCTTTCCCATATTTCCCATGTGATGTCAAATACAAGCACCTGGGATAGACAGGAGGGTAGGGCCAGCAGGGATCAGGGCATGACAATTAGGTATGCTTCCCTGCACTGCTCTGCATGCGGGGAGGAGCATTGCATGATAGGAGTGTCAGCTAGGTGGGGATGCGATCTCCCCGTCAACTGCCTTTGTTCCACAGGTAGATCCCATGGGGACATCTCACGGAACCCTAGGGTTTTGTGGAACCCCTATTTAGAAACACTGATCTAAACTAATGCAACCACCACATCCAAACACTGGCTAACTGAAATATATTTTTGCTCCTGGATTTAGATACAGTTTAATCAAGTGCTCTTGAAGAAGGCTGCAATATGTGCCAAAAGCTTGTGTATACTGGAGATGAATAAATATTAAGCATACAAAAAAAGAAGTGCTACAGTTGGTTAAAGACTCATATTGGTGGTCATGTCAAGTTCAGTTACATGCTGGTTTCCAAAAACTCTTGGTGATAACTATTCCTCAGGATTTCATGCCTCTTCACCTCTTTCAAAAGGAATAATGCACCACAGGCCCATTGGCCTAACTAGCATCCAATAAAAACTACCGAAAGTAAGCAAGTTAGTATATTTTTTTACGTTTTTCAATATAGAACCTACCAGGATGCTCAATATTATTGTTTTTCTATTAGATGTGTTTGTCTTATGCCAAAATATATCACATTACATATAAAAATGATTCCCGTTTTCTGGCACAGCTGGCACTCACATCTAAATGTTATTGTTTAGCTATGTCTCATAATACATCAGCTGCAAGCTTACAATCATTTATTTTTACAGTAAAGAGCAAAGATATATTTTATATTTTTTTTAACTGTCTGGATTACAAGTCTTTTAATAACATGTAACATACCTATATTGTATGAATGTCTATAGATATTTACCTTCTAGAATATGATCCACACTGCCAAAAGCTTCATCTATGTTCCCATGCTCCAATTCTCTAAGTGGTTCAAAAAGCAATTGTGTTTTATGGCATCCTAAAAACAGCAAAACATGTCTGCAAGTTATTTTTATGGCATTGTGAGCACTTAAATGTATGTATGTATTTTCCAATATTTACTGTTCATTTATAAATACAATTGAACATACAATGAAAACCTGCATGTTTCTATGATCAATGATCATGCACCTTTCATTTTTTTTGCACTTGCTGGGCACTGCACAAAAGCACTACGTTGCATTGCTGGTGCACTGCATTGCATGGTAACAACCTAGTGTGTATTGTGGTGCACTACATTGCATGGTAACAACCTAGTGTGTATTGTGGTGCACTGCATTGCATGGTAACAACCTAGTGTGTATTGTGGTGCACTACATTGCATGGTAACAACCTAGTGTGTATTGTGGTGCACTGCATTGCATGGTAACAACCTAGTGTGTATTGTGGTGCACTGCATTGCAAAAAATACTACAGACCATCCTTTTCTGCATTTTGAAGCATTGCTAGCACACTCAAATGAATGGTTTGCTTTAGCACAATGCATCAGTGCCAATGGGCCCTAACTGTGTCTAATATACTGTATAGCCCAGGGGTAAACAAAATGTTAGCTTTTATCTAATTCTTTTTCCAGGTGTTCTGCTTCATGAAAAATTTCTATTGTGATAACTGAAAACAGTAGTAGAATTTAAAATTTTTTTCTTTTTGAACATTTCTTAGGTCAGAAGTTTGATTTACCAAGCTTAAAAAAGAAGAATCTACACAAAATTTAAAATTATTTGCCAAAACTAATTTTACAAATTTCCATAACTGTATATTGATTCCTGTATATTGTTTCATGTAAAATTAAAGGTCTTCTTTATGTGTACACATACAGGAGAAT